GTAGAATAATAATAGTAGAATAATAATAGTAGAATAGATAGTCATAGAATTAGATAGTCATATAATAGAATAATAATAATAGAATAGATAGTCATATAATAGAATAATAATAGAATAATAGAATAATAATAGTAGAATAATAATAGAATAGATAGTCATAGAATTAGATAGTCATATAATAGAATAATAAGTCATATAATAGAATAATAAAAGTCATATAAACGAATAATAAAAGTAGAATAGATAGTCATAGAATTAGATAGTCATATAATAGAATAATAATAAAATAATAAGTCACAGAATTAGATTAATAAGTCATAAAATTAGAGCATCATATTTATATTGAATGTAATGCTAATTTCTTTTTAAATGTCTTGGATCGCAAGAGACATGATGAGATACTTTATAATTATTATTCAGATTAAAATTATTCGAATATACACGCTATATATATAGTTACGTTACTTTACAAGCTAAATTCGGGAAGTTTCACATATTATTTAATCTTTCTTCGATTCTTTCACTATAATTTGGATTGTTCGTCACTTCTCCATTTGATAAATTTTTATTCCAACAGCGGAAAGTTTAATAATAATATTATAAGCTTCACTCTGTTTGAATATGAACGAAGATGTAAACAATTAACTGGAAGCGACTTTTAGACACTGCTTTTCCGATTCTCATCCCCCCCCCCCCGATATCAGTTTTTCTTACTTTTATCAAAACGTTCTTGTTACTAACTGTCAATAATCTGTACGCTGCGAGCTTCATCAACAATCGTAAAATCTTGAAAACTGAAGGTACAACTGAAAGTATTAATTTGTTGAGCCAGAGGGAAGTTTCGTCATTAAAACTTGCTTCCTCGCGGCTAATCGTAATTTTGCTTACAAAGTGCAAGTAAACAACGTGCCTCACTTTACAAACGTTTAAATGAGATGTACAATTTTCTGCGATATAATTACATGTACAGTTTAATTGCTACGATGAATAATACGAAACAAGATAGACGTGAACAAGGTAGTGTTGCAAGGGAAGCATCTAAATGCATGGTGATACGTAAATCTATATCATTAAACCACATTTACAAATTTTACATTTAAATTGTTTCTCTATGTCCAGAATATATTTTCTTTTGTATTTTAACATTTTTTATTTGATACAAAATTCATTGTGTTAAATATTATATGAAATTTTTAACAGTATCTACACGTACCCTGCACAAAAAGTGAGGCAGTAAGTAGAATATGTCAAGCATAAATCAGAAAACGCGCGAGAAAATCTAGAATAATTCATTAAAATGAATAAAAAGAGCAAAAATATTTGCAGTATTAAGAGATGATTACAAAATGAGGAGAATTTTGCAGAAAATTTACATGAAATTTGCAAAATATTATAGAAGATCCTTTTTTTCATCTAAATGATGTTAAATGATATTTTGTAATAACTGTTTCCTTCTAAATTGTTTTATAAATTAAAGGCCGAGAATCGAATGTAATTTACTCCTCGTTTACGGTGCATAAGCAGAATATTGCAAAATAATGCAGAATAAGCAAAGAGTTCGCCTGAGCAAAGGTTGATGCGCTACTTTGGAACTCTTTAAAAAGTAGAGCCTACGCGATCCTCGGGAGTGCACAATTCAAAGAGGATCTTGTACTTCATCACATACCCCTGGGATCCGCTTTCTGTTGCAATTAACTTAAACTTTACCCTTTGACAGTTAATACCGTCTAAGGCCGCTGCTTGTGAGCCGTCACTTTTTGAGAGGATGTTTTAGGACGCTGATATTACAAGATGAGACAATAAAGTTTCACTAGAGCTAAGCTCGTTTAAAGATTTTACTTCGTTAAAAAATTGAAAATTGAAAATCTTCCAGGCCGCTTATCTCAATAACAAATCTGAAAGCAAAAAGGCGCTGGAATAGAATTAAAAAAAAAAAAAAAAAAAAAAAA